AGCAGTTTTCTTTTATTAAAGAAGAAAATGAGGATATAGATAGACAAGATGGGACCAAACTCAGACAACTACATATAATGTGGTGCCTTTGAAAGTTCCAGAAAATCACCATAGTTCTCACCATGTCTTCTCTTTGTGAGAAATTTGAGTTTCTTTAAAAAAAAAAAAGAAATAAAGAAGTGTTTTGCAAATTGGACTTTATAGAAGTGGTCATGGATTAACCTCTCTTGAAGAAGCCGAAACTACACCTGCAAACCAGTCAGGTCAGTGGTCCTAAGAAACTTCTTTTATGCTTAGAAAGAGGATCACAGGTCTGTGCTGGAATACAGGTTACTTAAAACCTAAGGCTGTGGAAACTGAGGTAATTTAGTGTCGGTTGACTCCTCCAGACACACACACACACACACACACACACACACACACACACACACACACACACCTACCTCTGTTTTAAGAAAATTGCCAATATAGATATGTGTGTACCTTGGCAAGGAAGAACAAAAGAGCAAAGAACTAATAGCCTTCTAAAAAGAGGATCATAAAAAGAGGATCATCGACTGGTCGCAGGAGAAAGGCTGCTTCCACTTCCTATTGGCCCGTTGCAGGGCTGCTAGACTTCCCATAACTCATAGTGGACTCCACCAATCTCTGCTGCAGGGCTTTCTCTTGGCCAGGGCCTGTTCACTTCTGAACATGGTGTGTCTGGTGTTCCAGGAATTTAAAGTGCTGAAAATTCAAGCAATGAAACTAAAGCTTGTTCAGTCACCAGGAGCTGCAGGGCCTTCTACATGTACCCTGGCCTTTTGCTGAGTGAAGTCCTTGCCTGAATTCCTAACTCTCCTCTTTTTTTCTTTTTTGATTGAAAGGTAGACTTGACTTTTTGGCTTAAGAATTTTCCTGTCCATAAAAACCAAAATCAATAAGTGATGGGGATTGAGTTGCCAGAAGATACTGTCATGCAAACTGTTCAATTTTGTCATTAAGACAATGCCCCAGACTTGGCAGCATTTGATAAAAACACATAATAACCAGTTTCTGAATGGTGAGAGCTGGGAATACAAATTTAAGTGGGAGAATACACTTAAAGAGGCCAGATGGCTCAGACCAGACACTATATGGCCGAAGCTATCTCATTAGCGCAAATCACATGTACTGTGTGAGAGTCCCCGCAAACTGAGCTGAGAGACCGGAAAGGATTGGGAGGATGGAATGCCTCCTCCCAACATGATCTCTCAGAACACTGAGAGTTTCCCAAAAAGGTTAATCAGTCCTGGCTCGAAGGGAATTCAGATTTCTATCCTGGGTGTCGGCTACTTCCACACCAAATTTTCTGGGAACTTGAGAGATAGACAAAAATCTATTTTAACTCTAAGTCATTCACTGCTTACATATGCTTCTTAAGATAAAGACGTTATTTATCACTTGAGTAAGATTATACCACGTGACTGGTGTTTGTGATTTCAGAGATATCGATCAAGATTGTATCACATGGTTTTTGCTTATGACTCCAAGGAAATTGTGACCTTGCTTGCTTTCTGCATGTATGCCCCTGTACCCTATTCAATAAATACCTTGTAAAATGGACCCAGGGCACCTGAAGCTGTCAGAAGACTTCAGCCTCCTGGTGCCCCAAACCTCAATTCTACAGTCTGGTGTCTGTTATTGTCTTGTCACAGGTCACCCCCGGTTGCAACAGAACTGCAGGACTGCAGAGTAAGTGGCAGAGCTGGGCTTAAACCAAACTATTTGAACTTGAAGCCCACTCCCTACGCCACATGCTTGCAGGTTCCTAGATTTAAGACCATTGCCTATAGGAGACAGCAGGAAACAACAAGCAGGTCTCTTTCAGGGCCCCCTGAAGGACTATTTTGGTTTTAGCAAAAGTAGAATTTGGCAGCTGTGAATGCTACCCTGAACTTGAACTCCATGCCAATGTATTAGAGGAAAGTTCGTGGGGAAATAGGGCTGGGGAAACAAGGCAAGCTCCTCCTCTGTCCCGACTGCTGCAAACCCAGAATAGAAGCCAAACTCTGAATGAATGAATGAATCAATCAATCAATCAACCAATCAAATTCAAATTTGGACATGCCTACACTTCCACAATCATAGTGAAAGTGAGGGTCTTGTGGGATAGCTCCCAAACTACCTCCCAGCTCCAATTCCAATTATTCTCTTCGACCTAGAACAATAGATGTGCAATCACCATATAATCAACCTCATTCTGAATCCTAAGGTACATTCTCCCAGGCTTATACTATTTGAGGAAGTGGAAAGGGGCCCCCAGCCAGAGATGAAACCACTTCCTCTCCATGAACACTTAAGCTATGAATGGCCTGTGTGCTTCCCCTTCCTCCTACCACAATTTGTCATGGCAATATGTGTTCCTGATATAATACCTTCAATGTGCACATTGACAGACTCCTTTATTTAGAGATAACAGGCATTCTGTGTATAAGCAAGAACAAAAAGAGAATACTTAGCTGAAAGTGGTAGTGTATGCCAAGAATTCTGACACTCTGGAGATGGAAGCAGAAGGATCATGAGTTCCAGACCAGCCTGGGCTATATAGCAAGACCCCGTCTCAAAAACAACAATGAAGAAAATATCTAGGGACTCTTTTTCATGGCTATCCAAGAACAGTTGGGACAAGAGAGTTCAAAATAGGCTTCATGTCTGGAGAGTTCAAAGAATCATTAAGAATATAGCTCCACTTAAGACCAGCTCAGAATCAGAAACCTCCCCCAGAAGACCTCTTACCCCTTACCTGGACTAAGTGAGAAGAAAGCGTTGTGGAGAAAAAGGCCCTGGGGCAGTCACAGGGAAGATACCAGAGTGGCCTAGATTGACCCCTAGAGGCTAGAAGTCAGAATTCAGAATCAAAGGAGTTTAAAGATCAAAGTTACCAACTCTCATAATAATAGTCAAAAAGTGCCGGGCACTGGTGGCTCACGCCTGTAATCCTAGCTACTCAGGAGGCTGAGATCTGAGGATCACGGTTCAAAGCCAGCCCGGGCAGGAAAGACTGTGAGACTCCTATCTCCAATAAACCACCAGAAAACCGGAAGTGGTGCTGTAGCTCAAGTGGTAGAGTGCTCGCCTTGAGCTGAAGAGCTGAAGGACAGCGCCCAGGCCCAGAGTTTGCCACGGACCGGGTTCTGTCGGGACGACGGAGGACACCTAGGGGAGGAACCTGGAATAGGATGGGGAGATGGCAAACAGACAACTCACACACATTAGGAATGGATGCTGAGTGCTGAGTGCTGAGTGCGATTTAATGCAGAGGATAGCAAACTTTTATAACAGAAGTCTCCATAAGAAAGGGCAAAAGGTTACACAATCTTGCTGCAAGGCTTCGTTCTTGGATGGTCACCAGCTGGTCACCTGAAAGGGCAAAAGTTTACACAATCTTGCTGCAGGGCTTCATTCTTGGGTGGTCAACAGCTGTTTCCGGCTTATCTCTAAGAAATATAATGGGTTTCGACGTTTGTCACCATTTAACCATTATCTTATTTTTATAGAGGCCTTAATTGTCCCATAGGATTTTTCCTTCCCGTTCCTTCTTTAATAATAAGCACCAAGGAGACTTAGATCTAGCAAGTCTCTTAGTAAATGAGAGAGTAGTAGGAAGTTTTTTCTCCTAAGTAGTTATCTCAGTAATTGCCATACATTCCTTCTGTTCTAGTTGCCCTACAGCTTCTTGTCAGTCTCTTACAAACAATTCCTTCTGCTGAAGTGACTTCGTGAAACCCCCAATACTTTTATATTTGCTTATGGCTTGTCTACTAGCCTCCATAAGAGGGGTTTCAGGGTAGCACTTAACTCCGGTGAGTTAGTCATATTTTTAAGACACTCATCAGATATTGGAGTCGTCAACACTCTTAAGAAAGAGCTTTGTATAGGGAAACGTTGACAATGAGCAAGTACAAAGAGCAGTAGAAACAGTAAAAGATTAATAGGCACTCTTATGAGGAAAAGATAGGCAGAAACACATCTTTTCCAGGGGTTTTGCCAGCCTTTTCCCAGGAGTAGGCCTCTTAGAAGCCCTATTCTCCGAGGTAGACTTCGGTGAAGTCCCAAAACTTGGAGATAGGTTTCTGTAAAGCCCCATTCTCTGAGGTAGACTTCGGTGAAGTCCCAAAACTCAGAGATAGGTCTCTGAAGCCCCTATCATGGTCTGATAGATGGTTTCCCATGCTAAGCAGACTCGGCGTGGCAAGAGTTCAAGCCCCACGACCGACAAAAAAAAGAAAAAAAGTATAGGAACCTAATACTTCAGACCAGGAGCTAAATCAGTGATTGTTCACTCTGGTAATTCATGAGCACAAGTCTGTGTGTGTGTGTGTGTGTGAGAGAGAGAGAGAGAGAGACAGAGACAGAGAGAGAGACACAGAGAGAGGGAGGGAAAGAGAGAGAGAGAAAAACTAGGAATTGAACTCAGGTCCTGGGGGTGCTGTCCCTGAGCTTTTTAGCTTAAGGCTGACACTCTACCACTTGACCACAGCTCTACTTCTGGCTTTTTGGTAGTGAACTGGACATAAGAGTCTCAAGGGCTTCCCTGCTCAGGTTGGCTTCCAACCTTGATCCTCAGATCTCAGCCTTCTGAGTTGCTAGGATTGCAGGTGTGAGCCACTGGCTTATCTCACTCCTTTCATTGGGACTTCACACGTGCTAGGCAAGTACTCTGCTCTTGAGCAACACCCCAGCCCCTGAGTGTCACTTTAGGAAAAGAGGGTGCTTAAGCTCTACTAAGACTTCCAGAACAGGAGCTGTGGTGAGGCTCTACAAAGAGCCACCAGCAGCTCCAGCGTGAAGGGAGCACCAGTGGGTTAAACCCCAGAGCGGTACTCATGTGCCACTCCTATCACGGTGGCCCAGGCCTTTCCTGGGACCAGTGTGTGGCGCACAGTGTGACTCTCCTTCACAGACTTCAAGGAGTTCCACGCCATAAATTCCTCACCTGAACACCACATGCCCCTCAACCAAGGCAGGAAAGCGAACGATTTCCACACATCATGTTTATTTAGAAATAATTCATCAGAAGAAACAGGTTGTTCTGATTCTCTGTGATTTGCCCCAGGGGCTCACCCACAAATACAATCCACATGAAGGGTCTGTCAGGTGGAGTGCTTGAGGCTGCCCAGACCAGGCCCCATTTCAGGGGCCAAGTTCACACTCTCTCCCCTCCCTCCTTCATCACAGCTGTTCCTCCTTCCCAGCTGTCCAGTCTTCCTGCCAGGTTCCAAACCCTCCATCTTCGTCCCCTGGACGGAGGCCCAGGGCAGCCAATAGGCAGGAGTGTGAAGCAGCTGTGACAGAGGACAGGTTCCTACCACTGCTGAGATGATGGAGGCCCTCCTTTCTTCTCAGAAAGTTGGCTCTGTTTTCAAAGTTCTCGCAGATGACTTTTTTTCAAGTGAGTTATTTGGATCTGACCTGAGAGAGGGAAGAATTGGATACTGTACAGAAAGAGAAGAAAGAAACAATACATAGGTGTAAGAAGTCATTCAATAATAACATCAATTTTTTCATGTGTCGGACCCAATACTGACTTTCACATGCCTTTTCACACTTGGCCCTTCCCCCTGGTGAGGGGAAGGGAGTAAAATCACCTTCACTGTAAGGAAATTGAGGCTCACAGAGTCTAAACCACTTGCCTCTATGTTAGATAACCACTGAGCCAGGATCTGGACCCAGGTCCTTCTACTGCCACAGCCAGCGATCTTCAGCACCGTGTGTGGTCCTAGGAAAGGGACTTAGCACGGTGCTGTCCCTTGATATCCACAGGAGATTGGGTCCAGAAATTCTAGACACCAGAACCCACATATACTCAAGTCCTTTATATCAACTGGAATATATTTGCATATGTGTGTGTGCATATATCTGCATATATCCTCCTCTACCCTTAAAATGAGCTCGAGTACTTACAATGCTTAATACAATGTAAATGCTCTACAAATAAGTGCTATATGATATTATCTAGGTAATAAAGACAAGGAAAAGTCTGTATGTGATCATTACAGACACAATATTTTTTGTAAATATTGTCAAACTCTGCTTGGTTGAATCTATAGATAAAGAAGTCACGGACACAGAAAGCTAGTTGTCCATTAAAGTAAATTGGTGTGTGTGTGTGTACCTGTCCTGGGGCTTGAACTCAGGGCCTAGTGCTGTCTCTGAATTTTTTAGCTGATGACACCTGGCAAGTTGCTAGCACATCATGTCACATAGCTACACACAAGAAGGATGGAGGGGGGGGGCTGGGAAGGTGGCTCAGTGGTAGAGCGCTTGCCTTGCATGCCTAAGGTCCTCAGCACCACATAAACAAAAAAAAAAGCCGGAAGTGGTGCTGTGGCTCAAGTGGTAGAGCGCTAGCCTTGAGCTGAAGAGCTGAGGGACAGCGCCCAGGCCCAGAGTTCAGGCCCCACAACCGGACCCAAAAAAAAAAAGAAGGATGGAGGGGAGATGAGTGACTCTTGTCAGCAACTTCCCAGGGAACTAATGTTTTGCTTGGTGACACAAGGCCAGGTCTGTGATCTCGCTGCACCTTTGGTAGGCCTTGCCCATGGCAATAAGCTAGGAGTCATATGTCCTTTGCGGACATGACAGTCTATCATTCCACAGGCACAAAGGGGGCCAGCCTTCCTGAACTCAGCAGAACAGCTCTCCTTCTGTCACAGTTTGGGGGCCAGAACTGGTCTACTGTGGGAGCTATTTCCTGCCAGCTCCTTTTGTCCCTACATGGCGAGGTACCTTTGCTGTGTGCTAAACTTCCTTGGGAAACCGCAGAAGTCTGAACCAGGAAAAGGGTGAGATTTCATGTCTTCAGCCTGTATGGCAGTTAGATTATGCAAAGGTAGCAATAAGGCACAGAACAAATCTAAGGGTCAGGGGGATTCTACTTTAGCTTCTCCCCATTACCAATTGTGGAGGGAGATTTCATTATGAGGCACAGGTGAACCTCAGATTTGCAACCCTCCTGCCTTAGCCAGCTACATGCAGAGATGACGGGCACGCACTGCTATGCCCCGATGCTTTGACCTTTTGATAGAAAACAGCATCTTGTCCAAGGATTCTAACACACTTTCTTCATTAGGTCTTGTTTCATTGAGGCTGTGCTAATGAGTCAAAGACCTGTCCCCACTCCCAAAGAATGCCATTCTTCACCTTTTTTTGCCACTAAAATCAGTACTTTGTGGTGATGACTTGTAATTTTGAGGTTGAGTATAAAGATGAGTTTAATGAACACACTGGCTGCTACCTACATGTTTTCCTCAACTTTGTGACTATTTGTAAAATCCCTGCCTTCAGTAATCAGCCCTCCCCACCAGTCTAGTCACACCCACCACCCAGAGCTTGCTACATCCTTCCTAGCTCGGGCACCTGCTCCAGACGCAGAGCCCAGCTGAGACCCAGAAGCATTCTCACCATTGTCATGTAGGTGGCCTCTGATTGTCCACTTGGCTCTTCCTCCCCGACATCCCATGGAGGTACTGAGAAGTAGATGTGCTTCTAGAGGGAAAAGTGATAGAAAAGTTCCTAAGAATAGGGCAAACCTCTTGCATCAGGGGAGAAACTCCCTGTTCCTATCAGCAGATCATCAATCAACAAAGCTGGTAAGCTGAGAGAAGGGAGAGAGAGAGAGAGAGAGAGAGAGAGAGAGAGAGAGAGAGAGAGAGAGAGAGAGCACTAGAGAATTGTCACCAAGAACAAGCATTTGCTCTTCAGTCTTCCTTTCCTCCCTAACAAAGTGTACCACCTAAAGAACCAGTTTGTTCCAAAGTCCAATGTCTTTGTTTCTGTGGGCAGACTTAGCAGGGAACCCTTCCCTTCCTAAATGACCTGTATTCTGTGGATATTTCCTCCTAATTAGAGTCTGGGAAAGATGGCATTAATTAGCAGCTAATTGTGAAAATCTCTCAGAGGGTTTATGAGGCAGGAGCAGCCCTCCCTGAACCTGGCATCTAGGAGGACATTTTGTCATTCATAGTCATTTTGTGATTCACAATCTTGTCACTCAGTCCTGTCCTGGTGACATAAGGACATATTCCCAGGTTTCCAGGGGCCACTGCATTGCATTTTTTGGAAAATTCTACTGTTGAGATGAAAACAGTCCAAAAGGTAGAAAGGTAAGTATTAAAAGAGGAGTTTCAGAAAGTTAAAAAGGGAGAGGATTCCAGGCATGGTGGCATATGTCTGTAACTGCAGCTACCTGGGAGGCAAAGGTAAGAGGATCATGGCCTGAGGCAGGCCCAGGCAAAAAGAGTGAGAACTTGTTTAAAAAATAATTGAAGTGCAAAGGGCTGGAGGTAGGCACAAAGCACAGAGACCTTGTTCAAAGCCAAATATAGGATGTGTATATATACATACATACATACATATATATGCATGTATGTGTGTATACATACAACCAAGTACAGCATGTATGTATGTGTCTCTGCCTCCTGAGTAGCTGGAATTAAAGCTATGAGTCACCACACCGGACCTGTGATTTTCCTTTCTATTTACACAGTGCCTCATGGATTATAAAGCACTTGCCTATTATCATCTCATTGGAGGCTTACAACAATACTGTCAGGCAGGAAAGATTGATAACTTTGGCCTTATCCTCATTTTGATGAGAGAGAGTGGGAGAGTTTTCTATTCCAGGTCCAGGGCTTTTGACTCAGCCCTCTTGCTGCCCAGGATATCTGCTTGTTGCCCAGAACTGGTCTGGCACAGTCCACCCTGCCCCACCCCATTCCACAGGAGTTCTTACTGCAGAAATGAAGGCTTCTAATGTCCCTGCTATACAACAAGTAAGACAGGTTCCTGGGGAAACAGCCACCACCCTCTATCTCGCAGTGTTCCTGGGTGGAGTGTGCAGGCAGCACACAGGACAGGCAGCAAAGGGTGGGGGCATCTCTCACCTCAGGAGTATCCATCCCTGTTTTCTCCAGGTTTTTCACCATGGCTGAAGAATTTACTGAACTGCAAGGCATGAAAAGCACATGAAATTAAGCAGCAGCACTGTTTATTCAAGCATGCCTACACGGGCTCCTGCATCACTCTGTAAAAAGAGGCCTGAGGAGAGAACTATGCCCTCTAGAACAATGTTCCACCCAAACATCTCTTCTCATGAGGAGCACAGAGCCATGCTAGACAGAGTTGAGACTAAAACCCAGCTTTGACTTCTCTATTACCATTCTAACATCCTTCTGTCTACAGTAGGAGGTATAGTGCAACAGGGCACTGGAAAGGGGTGCCTGTAGTCACAGCTGCTTCAGAGGACGGCTCAAGCAAGAAGATCTCAGGAGCCCAGGAGGTCAAGGTCAGCTTGGGAAACACAGTGAGATCTCATTTTTTAAAAAGTCAAAGCTGGGTGCCAGAGGCTCACACTTGGAATCCTAGCTACTAAGGAGGCTGAGATCTAGGCAGGAAAAGTCCATTAGCTTCTTATTTCCAACTAACCAATAAAAAGCTGGAATTGGAGTTGTAGCTTAAGTGACAGAGCACCAGCCTTGAGTAAAAAAACTGTCAGGCAGAAAAGTCTACTAAGGGACAGAGTTCAAACCCCAACACACATATCAAAAAAAAAAAGACAAGAAATATGGGCAGTATAATTTCAAATGAATGTATAGGGACTATGAGGTTCTACTTTATCATTCATCCTCTTGACAGTGCTGACCACCAAGAGGATGTGGGTGAGCCAGCAGGGGGCAGCAGGTGTTCAATAAGACCAGGGCTCCTGGCCTCTCCTAGGGTGGGCCAGCTCCAATTGCACATGGCCTCACCCCCACCAAACTGTGTTGTGGCCCCTTCTGGGTCTTCACTTTTGAGCTCTGGAACAATCACCTCCCACTTCTGCCTCTAAATGTACCCGGCTCCCTCTTTGGCTAAAGTAGAGATTAAATTATGGAGATATATAGAGGACACACACACACACACACATACACACACACACACACACACACACTACTGTTTTCCTCAAAGCAGAAATATTTTTTATTGTATGTTCTGATTGTAAAGTTTTATGTTTTCACTGTAAAATGGGAGACCTTGTCTCAACCCTCCCTCCACAGTAACCTTCCCCCCACTTCCTCAAGCAGTGAATGGTACTGCTAGGGTTCTTACGTATATTTTTTTCTTTCCTTTTTTTTTTTTAAACCAGTCCTGGGGTTTGAACTCAGGGCTTAGGGGTCTGTCCCTGAGCCTCTTTGTGCTCAAGGTTAGCATTCTACCAATTGAGCCACAGCACCATGTCTGGCTTTTTTTGAGTAGCTTATTGGAGATGAGAAGAGTCTCATGGACTTTTCTGCCTGGGCTGGCTTCCAACCACAATCCTCAGATCTCAGCCTCCTCAGTAGCTAGGACTACAGGGGTGAACACCAATACCTGGCTCAAGATTTATATGCTTAATACCAAAGTGAATGAGGATGGTGGTAGGAAAGCACAATGAGAAAAGGAGCTAGAGCTACCCACAGTGACATCCAATGTGACAAGATGATTTATTGATGTTGAATCCCCACCTGTGACCTATCTATCACTCTCCCACTTTGGGTTGGAGCAGTCCTGCATCCCTACCCTCCCAAACCACAGCAGGTACCTCGTATTCCTGTGGCTCCTCTTCACAATCAATATCAAAACAGGGAGCAGCAGGAGAGTGGTGCAGATGATCCCCACAATGATCACCAACTGATTCCCGCCCAGGCCCTCAGGTCCAGAAGTTGCTGGAATCACCAACATTTGGGGAAAGGGAAAAAAAAAGGGAGGGGGAGGGTCTCACAACTCAAGAAAAGAGCCCAAAGCCCTAATAACCCTATGTCAAAAAAGGAGCAGCCAGGTCAGGAAGTAGAGAAGGCCAGACCCTACCTCATACTGGACTACTGGGAGCACTATGCCCATTCCACTGAGAACCACAGTCTGGCCCTTGCTTGTCCCTAGAGGAAGGTAGGTGGGCGAAGAGACTACTATTTCACCCACAGTAGACCTCCCTTCCTCCTTAACAATTCTATTCTAAATTCTGGATTGCCAAATGACCTAGAAATAACAGGCACTTTAGAGGCTGCTAATCTTTCAATGAGCAAGTGATTCTTTTGACTAGAATACAGGCGACCACATTCCACTCATGTGGTCCTAGTGCTCCATCGGGATCTCAGAGGCACTTACAGACATACACCAAACACTTTCTCTGGGCCAGACATCACTAGGCACAGAGGATGCCTCAAAGACAAATGCCTGCAAGGAGGGAGACAAACGTGAAACAGGAATCTAGGACTACTATAGGTGACATGACAGAAGTCTGTATGAAGCACAGAGACAAAGGTGCCCCATTTTATGGAGAGCAGATGACAATGGAGACATCACTACAAGATGACAAGTGGAACTGAAATATTCTGATTTGTAATTTAGGCTGAGAATGAAAACAGAGACAGAAAGCAGAAGACAGCCAGAACTAAGAAGATGGCAAAGGTCTACAAGGAAGACAGCTTCAAAAGTTAGAAAGAAATGTCAGGCCTCATGAACATATTACATCATAGGTTACAGGAAATGAGAGAATCAAGACAAGCTCCTAAGCATCCAGTTACGAAACTGTGTTGTTCTGTGGTGACACTTCCCTGACTTTGCAGGGATGGGCTGAGGAAAGACCTGTAGGGGTAGGTTTGAGTATGCTGTACTCAAAGGACCCGAGGGAAATTTGGGTGGAGTGGATCTACACACTATATGTATGTGTACGTATGTGCACACATACGTATTTGTGTGTGCATATATACATACATATCTCCACATCATGCATACCTAGCTACACATATTCAATCAGCCCTTCCTATAATGGATTCAACCAGACGCAAGTTTAAAATATTCAGCAGAAAAACTGTATCATGCTGAACATGTACAAACTTTTTATTCCCTTATCCCTATTCCCTAAGCAACAGGGCATAACAACTATTTACATTGTATTAGATATTGTAATCTAAAAATGATTTAAAGTACACAGGGTACATGTGTATATTTATGCAAATATTATGCCACTTTATATAAAGGATGTACATATAGATTTTGGAATGGGGGGTGGAGCCCTAGAACCAACTCCCCCCAGATGCCAAGTGATATTATACAATGTATTTGTGTATATATGATTTTGTCTATGTGTGTGTATTTCAACATAGAATGCATATAGACAACAGCATCCTAAACCATCAAGGATGAGTAACTAAAATGCTACTGGTAATCTAAGATAAAACAGAGCAGAATCAGATCCTCATGCAGTGCAGTGAGGAGTTAAAGGGAGATGAGCCAGGAAGACACCAAGTGCAGATATTTGGCTGACTGTAGTGATGGCTACACAACTCTGAATATATTAAAATCACTAATTTATGTACTCTGAATGAGCAAACTGTATAGTTTGTGAACTGTATCTCAATATTGTAAAGCTGTTTCAAGAAAAACAAAGATTTAGCAGGTGTGGTGGCCCATGTTTCTAATCTTAGACATATGGTAGGTAGTTGCAGGACAATCTTGAGTTTGAGGTCATCCAAAGGGAAGTTAGTGAAATCTTATCTCAAAAGTAAAGATAAATGAATAAACAAATGGGTTAAGGGTGTAGCTCAAGTAGTAAAATGCTTGCCTAGAAAGTGCCAAGCCCTAGCTTCAATCCCCAGGACAGGGCAGGGCAGGGCAGAGCAGGGCAGAAGTACTATGTCTGTGGGTGGGGAGGTGTCAAAAATCAGCATGCCCCCTCTATGGTATGTTTTTCTCTTCAAAGTGGATGGAAGTCTTCTGAGGACAAAGCATACATAGAGATGGTAGTGCTTTAAGAAATCCACCAGTGCTAGCCGGGCGCTGGTGGCTCACGCCTGTAATCCTAGCTACTCAGGAGGCTGAGATCTGAGGATCGAGGTTCAAAGCCAGCCCAGGCAGGAGAGACTATGAGACTCTTATCTCCAATAAACCACCAGAAAACCGGAAGTGGTGCTGTAGCTCAAGTGGTAGAGCGCTCGCCTTGAGCTGAAGAGCTGAGGAACAGCACCCAGGCCCAGAGTTCAAGCCCCACGACCGACCGACAAAAAAAAAAAAAAGAAATCCACCAGTGCTTCTCTCTCCAGGTGGGACTCTGCTACTAAGAGGCTTCCTGTGTAAAGACCAGGAGGCATCTCCCAGTCTACTGCTATCTCCCCTCCCCCATCCAACTACAGCCTAGGCCTGAAGATCTTCATGAGAGGTAAAGTCCACTGGCCACATCCTGACTGCTGAGCCCTGGTTTAACTTTAACTCCTCACTGACCAACCTTTCTCAGACATCACAATCAAGTCTTTATTCTCCACCACTAGCCTGATGCACATGGTTTGCCAGAATACGGAAACTGTGATCAGAAAAGCCCTCTATTTTGTGGGTTGTTTTTTTTTTTCCGCCATCCCTGCCTGTCTCTTGCCAGCCCAAGGTCATTTTCCCTTTTGCTATAGAGCACATAGCTACTCCCAGAAAGCCAAGTAAAAATAACTGAGACTCAACTCAGTCCTCCTCTGAAATCTTAGATCTTTACAGCAGTCAACTACACCAGCCAGGGCTGGTGTTCACTGTATACTAGCTCTCTCTTCCTTAACTAGCACCAGCGCAGAACTTGAGTGAAGCAATTCAGACCATAGGAAGCCAGGTTGAGAGAGAATGAGAGGACAGAGAGAACACGAGGAGAGAAAATAGGAGAGAATAGGAGGTATCGCTCTCAGCTGGAAGTGACACTTCACCTGTGTCTTCCTGAACTCTGGCCTCCCTCCAGTCTTGGCCTTGCTACCAGCTGTGGTCCCTCAGTCCTCCTGCCCCACCCCCACCCCGCCTTGCCCAATCAAATGTATACATCTTGAATCTTTCTGGATTGCTTGCAGCGTCACGGTTTTCCTGAACACCACATTCCCCAGGTAGATGCTGCAGGTGTAGTTTCCTTGGTCAGACACCTTCACTCTTTGGAGCACGATGGAAGCATCGTTGTGGAAAGTGTCCCCCACCAGGGCTACGCGGTTCTGGAAGCGGCCCTGGCCCTGAGGGTACCCCATGGGCTTGTTGAATTTGTAGTCATAGTGTAAAACACTCTCCTCCTAGAAGGGAAAGGCACAAGCGTAAGGCACAAAGCTGGCAAAGTGAAAGGGACGTGGATGGGGATGGGGATGGGGGTGGAACCCCTCGGAGTCACAGGGCCCCATCGGAAAGTATGTGATAACACAGTTGTATACGCACGCACATCCCTGTGTCTACTGGCAAAAGATCACCAAACCAGGAACAACCATTCCAGCAGAACAGGGTGATTTAAAGAAGCTGGAATAAAGGAATTTTGCCTTCTCCCAGCAAATAAAGCAAAGGCATACTTTTACTTTCTATAGCACTTCCAGCTGGATTTCTCACTGGCACCTGAAACACATCTAAAACTGAGCTCTGACTTGTTTCTGTAAGCCAGTTCCCTCCAGTTCATCCCATGTCGGTAAATAGTACTGGCTTCTTTCAAGCTAAAGATCTTGGGAATCGCCTTGATTCCTTTCTGTCTTGAACAGCTCAGCTCTAACTCCTTAGCAAACACTATAGTGTCGACCTTCAAAACACATCATGAAGCCAGACACGTCTCACCTCCCATTATCCTCTGGTCCAAGCCACCCCGCTTCTCTTACCTGGACTCCTGCATAGACTTTCTTGTCTCCCTGCTTGCTCTTCCCTATAATCCATTCTCAGCAAATGAATCTTTCAAAATGTAATGTATACCACATCATTCCTTAAGGGCTGAGCGAGGCAGCCAGGTCTGACAAGCTCCAAAGCCAAAGAAAACCAGCACACAGCACTGATGACTGAGTCCCCTCTCCCTGCTCTGTCTTACTACTAGCCAGGAGCTTCTACTGCCCCCCCCCCAAGGTCTTATCTTCCTTGCCTTGGCACCCTGTCCTGAAGAGAACGTCCACCTCACTTCGGTCATTTGTTTCTTTTCTGTGCTGTGGAAAACACATCCCATCTGAGCCGAATCACCCACATGGACCTCGAACTCTAAGGGATAAAACAGTAAACCCAGTCACATCTTAAGGTATAACTGACAGAATTTCTAGAAGATTTAAAATTTAACCAAAGACCTTCAATATCAAAAATCACTGTCACTTCTACTGTTCATATTCCTCCATAGGTGACCCAGATGATTGATTTTTTGTGAGCCAAGTACTCAGAGGCCTTCAGTCAATCCAATATGGTATCCTCGGTGATAACAGAATATCTAACTACTCACAAACATCAAGTCACTTATTTCTTCTGTCTTTATGCTGCAATGAACTTTTTCTGGTCACCTTTAAATTCATTCTCTCCCACCTCCCCCTTTTTGTTTTTGTCAGTCATGGGGCTTGAACTTGGGGCCTGGGCGCTGTCCCTGAGCTCTTTTGCTCAAGACTAGCACTCTACCACTTTGAGCCATAACATCACTTCCTGTTTTGGAGTGGTTAATTGGAGATAAGAGTCTCATTCTCACGGGGTCTTTTCTGCATGCGCTGGCTTTGAACCATGATCCTCAAATTTCAGCCTCCTGAGTAGCTAAGATTACTGGTGTGAGCTACCAGCACCAGACTCTCCCTTTTACTAGAATTCTTCCCGTGAATTCCAACTCTGCATCAAGTGTGCATTGCAGAAGTACCAAAATCCAGGTGCTGGTGACTCACACCTGTAATCTTAACTACTCTGGAGACTGAGATCTGAGGAAAGACCAGGAGACTTTTATCTTCAATTCACTACTGGACGTAGCACAGTGGCTCAATTAGCAGAACACTAGTTTTGAGCAAAAAGCTCTGGGAGAATGCTCAGGTTGAATTCAAGTTCTAGGACCAGGAAAGAAAGAAAGAAAGAACAGATTCTCCAAGCCCCCCACTGTCTGTTGTTCAACTTAAGACACCCACATCTGTGTAGCATAAACAGGAAGTGGAAAGTTGAAAAACTCATTCTTCTATTTACCCCACTGGTTGTTCTAACTGAAAAAAAAAAACTGTATCACTGACTTTCTTCAAATTCTTCTTTTATTTTTATAAATTGTCTTGGGACTTGCTTAGGACTTAGTTCTGGCTTCAGTACAGGTCACAAGATTTTTTGTGAATTAGGCCAAGCTAGTGGGGAACTTTTCCTTTGATGTCTCTTTCTGTTTCTGTCCTGACTTCTCTTTTCTTGACTCTCCCTCCATGAAGCCCCTTCCACTGGCTCTGCCTTTCCAACTGCAGACTCTTCCTTCTGCCTAGTTGTATAAGCAGCTGACCTCACCATATATTTAATGCTTAAGTCGTTCCAAGAGGTCCCTGAAAAGAAAACAAGAGCCATGAAGTTTCTGACTTCCATAATGCCCTACACACACCAACCACAAAGTTAACTAAGAAATGAAAAGCACTAGGCATCAGTGGTTCACATCTGTAATCCTAGCTATTCAAGAGGCTGAGATCGGAGGATGTAGATTCAAAGCCAGCATAGGCAGGAAAATCTATGAAACTCTTATCTCCAATTAAGCACCAAAAAGCTAGAAGTAGCCAGGCACTGGTGGTTCACACCTATAATCCTAGCTACTCAGGAGGCTGAGATCTGAGGATCACAGTTCAAAGCCAGCCTGGGTAGGAAAGTCCATAAGACTCTTATCTCCAATTAACCACCAGAAAACAAAAACTGGTGCTGTGGCTCAAGTGGTAGAGCACTCACCTTGAGCTACAGTGCCTGGGTCAATGCCCAAGCCCAGAGTTCAAGCCCTAGGATAAAAAAAAAAGCTAGAAGTGGAGCTGTGGTTCAAGTAGTATAACCTTGAGCAAAAAAGCTGAAGGATAGCACCCACACCCTGAGTTCAAGTGTTAGAACCCACAAAAAAGGAGGAGGAGATGGAGGTGGAGGAAAAAGAGGAGGAAGAGAAGGAGGAGGAAGAAGAGGAGGAACAGAAGGAGCAAGCTACAGCAGCAACAAAGCCAGGCCTCCTGGTACACAAGTATAATCCCTAAAGAGGCTGTCTTGAGGCAGAAGGATTGAGAATTTGAGGCCAGCCTGTTTGAGGCCAGGGAAGGAGAGAAAGAGGGAAAGATTTCAAAACTACGAATCTACTGAAATCACTTTCTCCATTTAGAGATGGGAAAATGACGTACAAACAAGTTAGAGATCTACTCACTTTTTTTTTATAATTCCCAGAAACCTTAACATAGGTAACTATAAAATGCAGAGGTGGCATTGATATGGCTGACTGATAGGAAACATCAGGGTACAGTAACACCAAGAGGGACATTGATATCAGAGGAATTTGCTGTCTTTATGTCATTTAATAAATATGTGTCCTTAGGCAAATCACTTAAGCTCTCTGAGCCCCCATCACCTCAGCTGTAAACTGGAAAGGACAATGTGAACATCACAGGGTCTGGTGAAGAGAAAATACGTTTAAACTAATGACGATCATCGTTATAATTTATTGAAGACTCATCCTGTGGTTAAGTACTGCACTCAAAGGCTGGCATTTGTTCAACAAAATCAGCTCCCTTGCTTCTTCCCGAGTCTCTCTTGCCCTGGCCCTCTCTAAGTCGGTGTACCCCGTACCTCTTAGCATCTCTGGCAGCACGTGCACTTGCACTTTTTTCTTCACCACCACGTTCTCCCCCTGCCTGCGGATTTCACAGCTGAAGTTTCCCCGGTCAGCCTCTTGCACATTTTCCAGCAGGAGAGAACCGTCGCTGCGCAAGATGTCGCCCACCAGGCGTGCCCGATTCTTGAATCGCCCCACAGACACACTGAGGTTGGAATAATAGTACATCACATATTCATTCTGGAGGACAACACAACATCAGGGGAAAAATAAATCAAAAGAGGAGCCAGACTCAAGATTTTTTTTTTTTGGTCGGTTGTGGGGCTTGAACTCTGGGCCCCACAGTTAGATGATGTTCAGATGTATGATCTAATTCTTCTGCTGTTGTAGGCTGGTATTCTCAGTGTGCTGGCTGCCCTCCTCTAGCCAGTATATCACACCACGAAAGGAATCACCAACAGGAATTAGTTACAAACTAGGCGAAGGACCCTGGGGACTTTTAAAAAAATTTCTACTCACCCCCCAAAAATTAAAAAAAGGCAAGGTGCTGGTGGCTGACACCTATAATCCTAGCTACTCAGGAGGCTGAGATATGAGGATTGCAGTTCAAAGCCAGCCTGGGTAAGAAAGTCTGTGAGACTCTTATCTCCTAAACCTCCAGAAAGCTGGAAGTGGTGCTGTGGCTCAAGCGGTAGAGTGCTAACCTTGAGCTGAAGAGCTGAGGGACAGCGCCCAGGCCCAGAGTAAAAGCCCCATGACCGACAAGAAAGAAAGAACAAAAGAAAGAAAGAAAAGAGAGAGATAGAGAAAGAAAGAAAGAAAGAAAGAAAGAAAGAAAGAAAGAAAGAAAGAAAGAAAGAAAGAAAGAAAGAAAGAAAGAAAAGAAAGAGAGAAAGAAAGAAAGAAAGAATATATCCCCCCCCACACACACACACAAATCAGGACATTGTTCTTATGCCTAGCTCAAAGTTCTTCTGTCTAGACCACAGGACTTACCCCTCCCACCCACCTTCCCTACTCTACAAAGGTCAGGAGGTAGAGAAAGGAAATGAAAAGAACTTTATGTGCCTCTCTTCCATCATCCTCTCAACCACCTGAAAGTTGAACATCGCAATTGTTACGATTGTCTTCTTCACAGCTCAGGAAGCTGAAACTCAGCACAGATGGGCAAAGCCCTATGGATTATAAAGCCAAGTATCTATGCTAGCTGGAGGCTTAGTGATGACATCCATTGAAACCTAAGCTCTGGTACCACCACCTTATGGTACCTGATGATTGACTCTGTCTCTGCCCTCCTTGTCCTTACACCATCCACAGTGAGGTTTCCTCCGCATTACCTTCGCATGCTCTCCTGATGAGAACAGCCAGTCTACTTTGATCAGAGGTTTCTCTTCTGTGCTCTGGAACTTACATCCCAGCAGAGCCGAATCACCCATATGGACCATTAGCTCAGGAGAGGAAGCAATCAAATCACTCAGGCTCAAAGAACAACCTATAAAATTCAAAAGCAAGAGGGCATCTCATTTATACAAATATCTCCAATGGAAGTCAATATCAGTCACAGCTCCTTTTCCTATGATCCAGCACAGACTATCTACACTCAGAGGCCCCTCACTCCAACTGGCATGGCATCCCCACAGGTAAGAGAAATATCCTCTGGGTATCTGCGTGGTTCAAGTCCGAAAGGGTTGGCAATCTTCATATTGTAACAAATGCTATCTTGATCTCTTCTCCTATCCAGTCTCTTCCATTTTTTCCAGCATTTCTCCTCTCAACCTTTCTAAGAAAGGAAATCCAGAAGTCTCTCTTTCCTGACCATCAACTTACACAGCTACTCAACATAAGCAGGAAGTGATATATTTCTTGCTCTTAACTTTCTCAGTGGTTCCCTATCTGAATAGCCAACTCATTGGCATTTTTTTGTTTTCTTCCTCCTTTTCAAAAGGTAAGTTCCTCTTGAAAAGTTCCTTTTAGTTCCTTCACAAAAGCTTATCTCTGCATTGCTGACTGCGGTGCAGATCCTAGTAAGTAGGCCAAAGCAGAACACAGCCTTCCCTTGAATTTCCTTTGGGTTTGCCCTCCTTCACACTCACACCCACCAGCTTTGCCAGCTCATGTCCCTGGCTTTTCAGCCTCTAGGCTTTTGTACACATGCACACATGTACCTATTATCTGTTTGTAGCTCAACAAACTATAAGAGGTCACTAACAAAGAAAACCATTATAAGGACATTTATGTTTTACAATATATGCTCCATGCACTAAGACAACAAAATCAAGAGACAAATTTAGATACTGCCCAGCTCATATCAAAGAAGAGCCAAGAGAACACATATGGGAATGAACAAAAAAAAAAAAAAAAGAAGTGCCAGTTTTTCATCCAAGCTGTTTTCCTGAGAGAAGAGAGCTAACTTCCTGTTCAACAGCAGGCCCACACAGTGGGAAGGATGGAAAAGAAAACAAGAACTCTAAACCCTTTGGACAGTTATTTTGAAGGAAATCAAAATCTACTCCAACAATTATTTGGAATTTTCCTGTGAGGAAGAGCTGAGCAACGTGTGTGTGTGTGTGTGTGTGTGTGTGTGTGTGTGTGTGTGTGTGTGTGTGTACACCTGAATGCAGCTAAAAATGTACGAGGTGAATTCAACATTAACAGCACTGTTTGGAGAATTAAGTGGAAAAATACGCTAAAAAGCAACTGCAGCAACCAAAGCAAGGAAAAACTGAGGCCTGAAACTGAGGCAAACTCTCTTACACAGAGCTCCAATCTATAATCCAGTTACTCAGGAAATGGAGATCTGGCAGTTCAAAGCCATCCTAGGCAAAACGTTAGTGAAGCCCTAGCTCAACCAATAACTAGGTAGTAAAAGTGTACATCAGTGAAACCAGCTATGTGGGAAGCACAAGTAGGATACTGGTGCAGGCTAGCCCAGTCAAAATAACTACAGCAAATGGGCTAAGGACATAGCTCAAGGGGGAAAGCACCTACCAAGCAAGTAGGAGGACCTGCATTCAACCTCTAATACCACAAAAAAGTATAAAACTCCATGACAATATCATCATTACACACAAGAGTTGGACTGGCAATTCCCTGGATGGAAGGGTAAACAAATGCAGATCTACTGGGACCATCCCAATGTACCCTGGTTCTGTGGGGGAAAATCCCCAATATACAGAATTTTCATATGCATACATATATGTATCTACGTGTTAGAGCACCCTCCACATCACCTAAATCAAAGCAAAGGCAACCTTTCTGGGTGCTTTGCTGAGTCAGTGTTTACTTCACTGTCCACATAATGAATAATGATAAAGAGCCAGATATGGTGATGAAGACCAGTAATCCCAACCCTCAAAAGGCAGAGGTCGGAGAATTGGCTGGGCCTATGTGATGGGACTTTATCTATCTATCTATCTATCTATCTATCTATCTATCTATCTATCTATCTATCTATCTATCTATCTATCTATCTATCTATCTATCTGTCTGTGTGTCTGTGTGTTTCTGTTTATCTATCAATAAATAATTAAAAGCTTTTGAGAACAAACTATCTAATTTCTTCTCCCTAAAAAGCTGTACCTACAGAATAAGAAGAAAGACAGGGAAAAGAGGCTGAAAGAAGGAAGGAGCACTGTGGTGCAAAGTGGTAAAGTGCTATTTTTTTTTGGGGGGGGGGTCCGGTCGTGGGGCCTGAATTCTGGGCCTGGGCACTGTCCCTCAGCTCTTCAGCTCAAGGATAGCGCTCTTACCACTTAAGCCACAGCGCCACTTCCAGCTTTTTTTCTTTTTGCTTATGTGATACTGAGGAATTGAACCCAGGGCCTCATGGATGCAAGGCAAGCGCTCTCTACCACTGAGCCACCTTCCCAGCCCCTAAAGTGCTACTTTTAAGCAAAAGAGCTCAGAGACAGTGTCCAGGCCATGAGTGTAAGCCCCATGACAGAGAAGAAGGAAGGGAGGAAGGAAGGGAGGAAGGGAGGAAGGAAGGAAGGAAGGAAGGAAGGAAGGAAGGAAGGAAGGAAGGAAGGAAGGAAGGAAGGAAGGGGGAAAAAAGCAACAGGAAGCAACCATAGGCACTTGGGTGAGGTATGAGAAAGCCAGAGCAGTCTTTGTAGAAGGAAGTGCAGCTTAAGTGGAAATCTGAGGGTTAAGGAAGCCTTGGGCAGGCTTTCTGGGGTAAGAGGCTGGAGGAAGAAGGCGAAGGTTCCAGGCAAAGGAAACCACCATGTACTGAGAAACAGTTCTGTGTTTGGAAACCGCAAGAAGGCTGGGGTAGATAAGGCAAGAAAACAATGAAAGGGACCTTGGGCTGATCTGTAACTATTTCAGTTCCCTAAAGAGTAGCTGTGGTTACACTCATCTGGTTGAACCACTACTAAATATCCCCACGCTGCTGATCACATATATGGTATATAACATGTGAGCACCGTTATATATTACAGACTGTGATAGACAATTTGCTCCAGGAAAGTTAGAATGAACTTGTGACTTTAAATGAGCATCATTATTCCACAATACTGTGAATTTCCGGAAATTATGTAATCACTTAATCACTATCAAAAAAAAAAGAACCTCGGGGAAGGGAGGGAGGGAGGGGATGGTAGGGGGAAAACAATGGAGGGGGTAACAATGTTCAAGAGGCAAAAGGAAGTGTACTCATTACCTCCCTCATGTAACTGTAACCCTCTGTATAGTATCTTTACAATAAAAAAATTAAAAAAACAAGAGTAGCTGTGGTTAAAGTACAGGAATGCCATAGAGAAACTTGCTTCAACTCAGAATATCAAAGAACACCCAATAGGACCCCAAAGACATTCTGTGTCTGACAGAACCAGAGGAAGGCTCACTTCTTCAAGAAAGAGTATCCTGTAAAACGCTTGCTCCAGCAAATGCATAAAGTTCCAAGTCCAGGTTCTGTTTTCACAAATCAAAAGGAGTTGAAAATACATAAAATAGATTTCTGAAAACGTATGAGACTTAGAGAAATCAGATCCATCCTTGGTCCCTTGGCTTCTACTTACTCAGTAACACTGCAATCAGGGTAGCAATCAGTGGGCAAAACATGCTGCATTCAACTTTTCAACTTTAAGATAAAAGAAAAAAATAATCAGAAAATCATGTCAAGAGAAGTTTATAAGTTTAACAAATCAATAATGAGTACCTAACTGGGCTGAATCTCAAGTTCAAGGCAAACCTAGGCTACATAGTAAGACTCTCTGTCCCCTCCCACCAAAAATTTACTACTTTCATATATATATATATGGAATGCTCAGCCCACATGGGAAAGAGAGGATACACAAAGAGGGAAATCTCAAACTCAGTTAAGGATATTTTTGAAATTTAGGATGCAAAAGGCCATATAAAAGGTGACCTTTTAAATTTTTCCAGTATTTTAAGGAAGGGCAATGGAAGCAGAATTGAGAACTAGCCTATGCATGTGCAACACTATTTCTCTAATGTCTTCATATATTATTCTTGTGTGTGTGTGTGTGTGTGTGTGTGTGTGTGTGTATGAGTATATATATATCATTTTTTGGTATTATTGAGGATTGAATTCCGGGCTTTCTGCTTACTAGCAAGTGGTCTACTACTTAACTCATGTCTCCAACACTTTAATACCTATTATTTCTGATATTAATTAATAATTTCTGATATATATATGAGTATATATATACCATTTTTTGGTATTATTGAGGATTGAATTCCGGGCTTTCTGCTTACTAGCAAGTGCTCTACTACTTAACTCATGTCTCCAACACTTTAATATCTATTATTTCTAATATTAATTACAGTATATCTGCTCCTGGAACAAGATTCACTGCTATAGATAATGGCCACAAAAATTTATAGCTAACCAGGAGAACCCTAATACCAAGGAGTTAACACCACATCCAGTCCTGGGTTCCTATCTGCAACTATGCCTATTTATTGCAAATGGGCCCCCCTGCCACTGGGAGAATTCTATCTCTGAATATGCTAAGTAAGGGAATCTTTATAGAATTAACAGCAAGCTGCCCCTCCTGACTACTTTCACTTATAAAAAGTGATTTCCTAAGAGACTTCTTACCTGTACTCTAATCAACAAGATCCTCCACCTGCACAGCAGGGTCAAACTATTTCATTTTCTTTCTTAGATCCCAGCTGACTTCATGGAACCTCAGCTTGCTTGTCCATAACAGGGCAGGAATCAGTTTTTGTAGATAATGGTGCTTTGGAAGGAGGAAGTATTACTATAGAAAAATCTCATTTTCTGTAACTCAGACAGAAAGCAAGTGTATAGCATTGGGGAAGATTTCCAATTCTAAGCTCCTGCCTTTGCGAGAACACAAAAGATGAAGCAGAATGAACTAGAAATTTTAAAGTTTCCATTTTTAATACCCTCTAATAATCGCTGATCTAGATATGTCAGGGGTCACATTAAGTGATACCAGACAGAAGGGAATCTAATGAAAACACAGATCTCAAGACAGCCGTAGCCTTATTCCTGTGCCATGTAGCCCAAGTTGCTCCACACATACATGGATGATGGCCAAACAGGCTTCCTTTATAGCATATCCTAACTTTAGTTTGTTCTGTCAGCTCATCTGAGATCCTGGTCACCTTCTGGATGAATCGTTCCTGGGAGGTTAATTGTATTCCCTCCTCCATCTAGCAGACAGCAAGCTGTTGGCACTTAAAACCTTCCCAGCAATGTTTCCTTTGAGCGGAGGAGTGATGGTTGATTTACATGTCTGTCACCAACTCCTACTCAAGTTTCTACACTCTCAAGGACAGGACTCTTAATTGTGCTTTGTCCTGTTCTTGTGCTAGAAAGCCTATAAAGTGCTTGGTACATACTGGATAAATGTTCATCACTAAACAATGTGACCATTACACTGAAGTCAACTTCAAGGCATCCTGCCACCCCACTACTGTTATTCTAGAAGGAAATCAGCCACTTGAAAAAGACTGAATCTATTTTCCAAGCCTGACTCATTTGAGAGCCACACCCAAATACCTTCAAAGTCTAGAAAATATGAGATCTGATGAACAGAAGATACCTACTTTCAGCCCTAAATACTCAAATGCATCATTAAAGCTCTGTGTGAAGAGAGAAGCAATGGTTTTAGCAGAAAGAGCATTGGGTTGGAGATTTTTTTTTATTTTGTTTTAATTTGTTTTGTTTTGTCTTAATTTTCCTATGGGCTGACCTTCTGTTGATTACTTGATTTGGGGGACAATCAGTCTCTCTATATATCACCTTCAGCATTAAAAGATCAGACTTTCCTTTTTTTCCTACTTAATAGAGAACTACAATAGATGTCAGAAGGGTAAACACTAGGCTGTGCGCAATTTACATACTAAGACTCACTTAACCTTCCCCACAACACCGAATGTTTTCAGAAGAGGAAACGAAGGCCCAGATGGATACAGTGACTTGCCTAAGAACCTGGCAAGAGCCATGATTCAAACCCAGAAAATCTGGTTCTGAGCCTGTGTCATCACACTGTACTGCTTCTCCTTTGTAAAAGTCATCAGTATTTTAAAGCCAAGTTTCCCTGCACTTTACTTGTCAAAACAAAATTAATCTACTCCTCCTGGATGGATGGTCTCTTAAGCCTCATTGCACATTCTTGTATCCCTTCCCTCCTGTTCATCTTTCAGATGTAAAGTTAAATGTCATTTTGTCAGGGAAACCTCCTCATCCTAAGTCAGAGCCCCCTAGCCTCACTTCAATGGTACTAGTTAGCTTGACGTGAGGTTAAGCACTTGTTACAACTTACAATTAATTATTGTGTGACTATCTAATTAAAGCCTTGATTTCTGCTACATGAAGACTCTAATCTCCAGGTGGCCAAGCACGGTGCCTATGCACTACTCAAGTGTTCGGCATGACGTGAGGTGCAGAGATGCACTTACACACTTCATCACATGAGATCACAACACTCTGGTCATTCACCAAGAACACTCACGTTTAAATTTCCTAGGTGGTGGGAAAATAGTCATAAACTCTTATACATATATCTCCATACACACGTGTAACTCTCTCTCTGCACACACACAAATATGTATATATACACATATACTTATTATAGTTGTATGTCATTGAATGGTGATACATTGTCATTTGGTGATTCCATCCTTGTATAAGCATCAAACAGAGAATCTCAGGGGATCATTGTCACACTTTGGTTGTCATTCACTAAAATGTTATTCAGCACATGACTATATATTCTGAATTCTGTATGTATGAATATCAAAATTATGAATTACATCTATGTATATAAAATAAATCTCAGTTTAAAAAAAAACAACAAAAGCATTCAGAAGCCACTTAAGCACCCTGGCAACAGATGACCATTTAAACTCCTCCCACACACTTCCTTCTTCCAGATACCAATTTGTCTCTTCACCCAACATTATTGAAATAATACTGTATAGTAAGATATCTAACATATGTATCAAATGTTTAGACCTGAGCTCATGACTCTTTTACAAAATAACTCCTTCTCACTCCCAAGGGGTATGACTATCAGGGTCTTCTCTCCTATTATTGATGGTGTATACAGTATGGCTAGCTATCCTTGGTATAATTATGACAGAAAAAAAAACTTTAGAAAAGAGACTTAAGGCAGCTGCCACTATTCCATTACCTTCTTTCCACGGTCTCCTTCCAGTTCTCAATGCTTCTCTGGGCCTAAGGGTTTCCGCTGCTTGTTTACCCTCCCCCTCCTCATCCCATAACCCGCCTCCATCCCCCGCCCTTCCAGTCCAACCTCAGAAGTGTTTAGTAAGAAAGCGCCTGTGTCTGGCAGAACCGGTGTGAGTTGAAGATACAGTCCTTCCCCAGCCGCCTGGATAATCAAGAGTTTTGGCCAGACCCTGTGAGCACACACCGAGATAGAGTGAGAAGCCAAGCGAAAAGCACAGACTATGGCGCTGAAACAGATTAATAAGGAACTTAGTGATTTGGCCCAGGGCCCTCCTGCACAGTGCTCTGCAGGTCCAGTTGGGGATGACATGTTTCACTGGCAAGCCACAATTATAGGACCTAATGACAGCCCATCTCAAGGCGGTGTATTCCTTGTGACAATTCATTTTCCTACAGACTACCCCTTCAAACCACCTAAGGTTGCATTTACAACAAGAATTTACCATCCAAGTATCAACAGTAATGGCAGCATTTGTCTTGATATTCTAAGGTCACAGTGGTCTCCTGCTTTAACGGTTTCTAAAGTTCTTTTATCCAGTTGTTCACTGCTATGTGATCCGACCCCAGATGACCCCCTTGTGCCAGAGATTGCACAGATCTATAAAACAGACAGAGATAAGTACAACAGAATATCTCGGGAATGGACTCAGAAGTATGCCATGTGATGCTTCCTTAAAGTCAGAATAACCTGCATTATAGCTGGAGTAAACTTTAAATTACTGTTCCTTTTATGATTTCTTATCTAGCAGCTCCCCTATCAGACAAATTTTATTTTTTGTTTACCTCCCTCCATTCATTTACAGGCTCATCTGAGAAGACTTAAGTTCTTCCAGCTTTGGATAATAACTTTTAGAAACTGTAAAGTAGTTACAAGAGAACAGTTGCCCAAGATTCAGACTTTTTTAAAATGGAGCATGTGTAGTATGTGGCCAATATCTTCACTCTTCACTCGGTTATGAGACTAAACCATTCCTCACTGCTCTAACATGCTAAAGAAGCCATCTGAGGGGGAGGGAGACAGATGCTCAGTTGTCACATCAAAGGAAAGGACATCCTTGCAGCATCCATTCTTGTTTAAGCCTTTCACTGTTAGAGATCTGAGAGTACATGATATACTTTATGCTATAACTGATGTGGCTGGAGAATTGGTATTGAATTTATAGCATCAGCAGAACAGAAAATGTGATGTATTTTATGCATGTCAATAAAGGAATGACCTGTTCTTATTCTACAGAGAATGGAAATTGGAAGTCAAGCACCCTTTGTATTCCAAAATAGGGTCTCAAACATTTTATAGTTTTCATTTATATTGTTAGGAGGCTTGGAGCTAGTAATCTATCTTCCAATACACTGTTTGATATAGCACTGAATAAATGATGCAAGTTGTTAATGGATGAGTGATCAACTAATAGCTCTGCTAGTAATTGATTTATTTTTCTTCAATAAAGTTGCATACACCAGTGAGTTAGCTGACTGGATTAATCAGTATGGGAAACAATGTTTACAAATGGAAAACTGTTTTTTGTTTATACTGATGGGATTTGCTTCATTGTTTGACATCAAATGATGATGTAAAGTTCAGAGAGTGAATATTTTGCCATGTTCAGTTAAAGTGCACAGTCTGTTATAGGTCGACAGATTGTTTAACCTGATTTATGCAGAGTTAATAAGATATTCAAGTAGTGTAGCTTTAATATGCTGCACATAATACTGGCAGCCCTGGAGTTCATAAATGGACTTGGGACCTAGCAATTCTGGAACGTGTATGTGGAACTTCTATTATTTTCCAGGTGCATCCCCTAACTAAAACTTCTCTGTTATCATGTACCTCTTGATAGCTGGGGGAAAAATGGGAGTGATAGTGGGTCACATTTTACAAATAAAAGTACTATTAATGTGGAAGTTATCATGAGGCTGTGTTGAAATGACTTAACCATGAGATACTGGGCATCCATGGAAATGGGTTTGTTCAGCTATTTACATTAATGAGCATTTAAATGCAACAGATATAATTTCAGGTGACTTAACATGAATGAATAAAAGTCAATGCTATTGTGAAAAAAAGGAAAGAAAAGAGACAATAATAAAGAGACTGCACAGGCTATTAAAATGACCCCAAACATGACAAAGGAAGGGAGAGGTGCTGTCTCCAAGGCCCAGTATTTGCCCTTCTTAAGGACAACTGATCACTGAGCACAGACAACTATACAGTTTCCCCTCACTCATAGCCCACTCCATCATGGTTCTAAGTCCTCTCAGCCTTCCTACCTATTCCTTGTACCTTTAGGGTCTCAGTTGTTTCTAGATATACAGTACATGTAATCACTCCAAGATATAAACCTCTTAAAATTCACTTTCATGTTTCCTCCCAAGACCATGTAATATACACTGTGATATTACATGGCTTCTGTAATACAGTCCAGGTTACATCTGCCAATGCTTTACTCGTATGGGACCTTGGAATCTGCTATATGCTCCTGTTCCCTCAAAACCAGGTTATTGTATGAGTCTCTCTTGAGGTCAGATATGATGAGAAAGAAACAATTTGGCTTTTTTGAAAGGTTTGGATATTTTGACCCATCATGGCAAGGTTAACTATTGGTCTAGCATGGAGAAAGGAAAAACAATGAAGAAAGAGTTTCTGTGAGCTCAAGGACAGCAGACACAGCTCTACATAAAGCAGCAGACAAAAGCTGAAGCCTTGCTAGGCATGATGGCACACATGTAATTCCAGCAATTGCAATCATGAGGTTGAAGCAAGAGAGTGTAGGCTACAGTTTGTCTCAGAGAGAGAGAGAGAGAGAAAAAAAGAGAGAGAGAGAGAGACCGAGAGAAAAGAGACAGAGACAGAGGGAAAGAGAAAGGGAGGGAAAGAGAGAAGGAGAAAGCTGGAGGAAAGGAAGAAAGTTCAAGCTTTATCATTGGTCACTCATTATTTGTGTGTAGGTCAAGCTATATATCATTTCCTTAGGGAAATCTGTGTTCTAGGTCAGATTCCCTAACCACCTGTAAACAATATTCATTCTGCATTTTTTCTGTGGACGTTGACATTAATTACTCTACACTACAAACACTAAACTGCACCTACTGGAATACCTTATGATAGTCCCTCTGCTGCAACTGACATTTCTGTGACTGCCCTCATGCTCCTAAAGAGTTGCGAATTAAACCAGCCTGCCTCTGAGTGAGAGCCAGCCTTCCTCTGAGAAAAGTTCAAACAATGGTACACAACACACAAAGTCATTGCTTACCCAAGATGACAGTACCCAGAAGAAGCGATGCACTGAGATCTCTCACCACGGCAGTTCCCACACTGACTGAAAATACTTCTGCCTGCACATAAAGCCAGGCTCAGAGCAGACCACATATGTGCGTGCATTCTGAGACAGCTGCAAGAGGCACAAACAGGAACCTCTAAATCAAGGTTCTCCTTTCAGTCATTTGGCCCAGTACCCAATTTTTACTTATGTTTTCATTCTGAAAAAAAAATGTATGGTATTCAACTTACTGTACATCCCAGAGCTCTGTAGATATGGTCTTCCAATTTGGATGACAAACTTTTTATATACAAGATCTTGAATGGCATTAGGCAAACATTGGCTGAGAAAGAAATCAACTGCATGCAAGCACAACTACAGTAATTCAAAGATTGACACAAAACATTTGGCACTGTGTTCAAGATATAGCAACCTCTCCCCACCCCACCTCCACCCCCAATACAGAGATATGGTACAGGCAATCATCCAACGCCTATTTCTAAAGATGTGAATGTCTGCCCAGTCTTCCAACTGTAGATATCCTATGACCATGAGTTACCAGCATTTCTAGTAGACAGGATTCTAGTTATTCTCCTAGAGAACCTAGGAGTTGGCTCATCCTAGATAAAAACTCAAGCCAGGCGGTGGTGGCTCATGCCTGTAATCCTAGCTACTCAGGAGGCTGAGATCTAAGCATCATGGTTCAAAGCCAGCCAGGGCAGGAAAGTCAGGTGAGACTCAGCTCCAATTAACCACCAGAAAACCACTTGCTGTGGCTCAAGTGGTACAGCATTGGCCTTAAGCTGAAGAGCTCAGGGAGAGTGCCCAGGCCCAGAGTTCAAGCCCCATGACCAACCATTAAAAAAAACAAAACAAAACAAAAAAAAAAAAACCTCATGGATTCTTCACTTTAAGATGTCTCTCAGTCTTTCTAAGTCACTACTTCAAAGTAAATGCTCTCAAGATTCTCACTTTAGGCCTTGGGTATGATTGTTTTAACCCAGGCCTTGGCATGCTCATTTTTTAAAAACTTGTCTGTAAAAGGAAAGAAATGTATATATCACCCGATGTGGAAGAAATAACTATTGTCAAAGCTCATAGAACTCATAAACTTTATAGACCACGATACAGACAATTTGCCCCATAAAAGTTAGAATGTGTTTGTGACTTTAACTAAGTATCAATATCTCACAATACTGTGAATTTATATAATCACTTAATCGTAATAAAAATTGCTATTAAAAATCTGTCTGTATCATTTGAAAAGCTTTTGTTCATTCTCCTCAATATTTCCACCATGGTGTGTTTCAAGCTAACCAACTCACAAAATTTCTAAAATTTAACTCTCAGCTCCTGCTGGGAGCTCCAGCACACTGAAAATCTATGCAAGTTTTTTCTTTTTCTGGGGTACAGCTCAAACTGTTTGCTAAGTGCTAAAAACCACAAAACCCCCTTTCTTTCACATGACACCTATCATTTATATAGAGAAATACACCAAAAGATAGTCAGGAAGGTGCAAAAAGTTTATTAACTATGTTGGAGCAAAATATATCAGGAGTTACAGTGTCTGTGCACAATTTATACCCTCTTACAAAAACAAAAAACAAAACAAAGACAACAGGCAATAAGATGCAGCAGGTAACAGTCTAATACTGGAGTCAAAGGAGCGAAGCTGCCCCTTGCAGCAGTAATGTTTTGAGTTGTACTATTAAATAACAGCCTTGGTGGATCATCTTACAGCGGCTCTATAGAACTATAATGAGTGACACTGTTGAACATTTACGATCAGAACTTTAGCCTCCATAATTTTTTTTAAAGCACATGCAATCTGCCACCTTGAAGCACCAGTACCAGCAGAGAACTGAAGTGTTCTTCCGAGTGGCCTGAACTAACAGGCCAAAGGGCAAACACAAAGTACAAGTTCACATTTTGTGAAAGAATTAAGAAATAATACATAAAACTCATCAGGCACTATAGTCCTAAGAACAGACTGGTGTAGTCAGAAAACATTTCTAAAAGGTCCCTTTTGAATTAGATTCTCTTTGTAGACAAGGCTGGTCTCTGAATGGTGTGATGTGAGCCCACAGACCAGCAAAAGAGGGGAGCAGTTAGGAGAACATAGCACCTTAGAACAGTTTGTCAAAAAACAAAAAAAACACTTTTGTCTTCCTTCCATCCTTATAGAAGCAGGGGTCTACACATTTTGCTTTCCTTTGTAGAAAAAAAAAATCTAAACCTTGATGTAAAAGGTGAAGAGGAAAGCAGAGGGCAGCCTACAACGGGCAGGGATGTCACCGTGATCCCTTACAGCAGATGGAATTACCAGCTCCCTCCCTCACCATGAAGGACTCTACTGTTCTTTTAAGAAAGAAAGGACTGGTTAAGATCATGTTTAAGCCTACAAAATAGCACATCTGAGTGTTCACTGAGCACAACAGACCTAAAGTGGCCACAATTCAAGCTGAATAAGTCTTCATAACATATTTGCAAGGAAATTATAAGACCTAATCAAAACTGGTTCTTCATTTAATGGGATGTGACTTCTAACTGGGTTTCTCCCATCTCTCTCTCAGAGAAATGAAACACACAAGATGTTTCCCTTGCAAGCTGCTGTGCACTCTCCAAGAGCCCAGATTATTTATTTCTTGTTCAAATTGTTTCCTTCTTTCTGTTGAGACAACAACATAATTAGCAAGTGGCCCAAAAGATTGTAAAGTATAAGCATTAGAAATGTCAACTGCCAATTTTCTTTTTTTTTTTTTTTTTTTTTGTCAAGCTATGGGGCCTGAACTCTGGGCCTGAGCGCTGTCCCTCAGCTCTTCAGCTCATGGGGCCTGAACTCTGGGCCTGGGCGCTGTCCCTCAGCTCTTCAGCTCATGGGGCTTGAATTCTGGGCCTGAGTGCTGTCCCTCAGCTCTTCAGCTCAAGGCTAGCGCTCTACCACTTGAGCCACAGCGCCCACTTCTGGCTTTTTATGTTTGTGTGATGCTGAGGAATCAAACCCAGGCCTCATTCATGCGAGGCAAGCACTCTACCACTGAGCCACCTTCCCAGCCCCTCAACTGCCAATTTCTTCTGGTCTCTTCCACAGAACCTACACAGACGTAAAGCACACTGTCTAGCAACTAACCAGTCTCTAGTTTATGGACTAGATTAACCAAAGGGCCCAGGCCAAACCTATGAAATAGAATTAATGCCTCAACATTCATAAAAATAAAATGGATTTGAAAAACAAATATGGAAACCTCCACCTAGGAAAGCACCATGGATAAAATGGACCATCTTTTTGGAAAAATGAAAGTGGGGGAAGGGATCATCTTTGCCTCTCCTGAGAAGTGAACCAGTCTATCACTCTACTAAGAAAACTGCTTGCATTTAACTGTCACTCCTTCCTAACACATCAGACATATGTCTTAGTGGCTTACAGAAAATCCAACATAAATTAATATGTAGAAGAATAAAGGAATGCAAGTATTGAGAGACTGGAGATGTACATGTTTCACCTGACCTCACTTTCTCATCTCCAATATTATGCAAAACAGCTTGCAAATACCATGGTTCACTCGAAACTAGTGCATTTCAAAAACTGAAAAAGATCTGAATAACAATATGTGAAAAAGTTTAATTATAAAGAGCTACTAAAATATTCTATAAGTCCCCACGAAAAACCTCTTTAGCAGTTTCTTCTGGTCTCTAACCTGAAAAGTCATGAAGGAAACCACAAATTGGTCAGCTACAGGAAAATAAAGTAACTAAGATTACTTGGCTCAAACTGTAACCAGCAAGATAAAAGAAAAGACTTCTTCTATTTCACCATTTTTTCTTTAACTTATAAATTAATGACACTTTATTTAATACTTTATTTTTGCCAGTCCTGGGGCTTCTCAGGACCTGGGCACTGTTCCTGAGCTTCTTTTTGCTCAAGGCTAGCACTCTACTACTTTGAGCCACAGTGCCACTTCCAGCTTTTTCTGTTTATGTAGTACTGAAGAATCAAACCCAGGGCTTCATGCATGCTAGGCAAGCACTCTACCACTGATCCACATTCCCAGCTCCTATTTAATACTTTAAACTCCAGTAAACTATCAACTCTAAGGAAATTAGGATGATAGACTCAAAGTAACCCAAATACAATTGCTGGTGAAATCATTAAACCAAGTAGCATATGCTGAATACTAAAACTGAAAATGTTTATGGAGCATGAAACAAAGGATAGAGCTATTCCCCAAAGCATCTTATCCAGCAGCATATTATCAGGAAGCTATGGCTCCACTTCATTAAAAAAAAATTATTTTGGCATCAGCAGCATGGCAAACGTTGAGGATTCTCCTTCAAATAACTGGAAGAAAACATGTAATACATTCAAGAGTGAAGGTAAACCAAAAGTATCTTTCTATTCAGAAAAAGAATTTCTTCATTCAATCAGAGAACTTAACATTAAAATGGAAAGTCATGAGTCTCTTCTGAAAGTTGTTGAGCAGTTTATAAATACAAAAAGAACATTTTTTTCAATAAATAAATGGTCCCTAAAGTCTTTACTGATGACCTCCAGAATCCTCCATCACTGCTGCCGGGGCCAGCTCCACTCCTCTGAGAGGCCTTAGCGGCCAGGGCAATGGGATATCTTCTATCATTAGGAAATTCTTCTTACATTATGCATTTTCCTCAGTATGTCTCTTCATAGTCTGAATCCTGAGGGGAAGAACAGCAGCTTTGGTATTTATGTGAAATACAATGTCACAGTGAGAATTTAGGGAGAGGTTACACGTGTGGGAACCTGCGCTGGAGTGACAACAGCAGGTGTGACTGCCGACACACAAACGTGCATTCCCAGAGCAGCACAGGGAAGTATCCATTCTGCTTCTCTTCTCAACCCCGATGGAGTTTACTCCATTCAGAATAAAAGTCCTCTATAAGGGTCTATGAAATCTGTATGCTGCCGGTTCTCTCTGGGTTCAATAAATTATATTCTTGTCTCTCCCTTCTTTCCTGTTACACGAGCTTTCTGCTGTTCCTAGGACTACGCTGGCCCTGCCCCAGAGCTTTTGCACCTGCAATTTCCTCTCCCCAAAGTGCTCCTCTACAACAGCCACTGTCTTGC